TGGAATGTGATGACTAACGCCCTGGCTACCCAAGAAAATCTATTTAGACGAAGATATGTGACCTCCCCATTGTGGAGAATCTGCAACATAGATATTGAGACTGTGTAACACCACCTCTTTTCCTGCGGTTGGACCTATAGGGTGTGGTTTGGGTGTGATTTGGGCCTCAGAATGAATCAACAAGTTATTGCGAATATTCATAACTGGATCTCAGATCTGGTGGATGCATTGCTGGAGTCCAAACAAGTGGTGGTAGTTTTGAGCCAAGTGGCCTTCGTTGGGTGGACCATCTAGAAAATGAGGAATGAAGTCATCTTTCATCACCAGCTGCCTAACCCTTTGTATGCCATTAATGGGGTCATTATGGGGGTGGAGAGACATGGGTTATTCAGGATCGTGCAGGTCTAGGAGCCAACCAAATTCGGACGTTCAGATTTCATCATAGGTCCCTCACTGGCTTCCCCTATCCCAGAATTTGGTCAAATTCAACTGTGACGGAGCATATAACCCAAGCAGGTCCATAGCCTCGGCTGGAGTGGTGTGTAAGGATGCTAATAGGGTTCTCAATGATGGGGTTTCCTTCCAAATTCCATAAGTATCCAGTCTGTTCTCTGAAGCTGCTACAGCCCGTGAAGCATGTTTCATGGCTGTTTCTCTGAATCTTCATAGTGCTACAATTGAAAGTGACAACCAGTCCCTCATTTTTCTGTACACCGGAGAAGATGATCCCCCATGGGAAATAGCTGCCTTTATAGAAGACATCAAGTACACTGCTACAATATTAAATCTAAATTTCAGATATGGGCCTTGAGTCACCAATATGGTGGCTCACTGGATGGCCAAGGCTAGACTTCTCCATCACTTACCTCAAGACTGGGTGATGAATCCTCCACCTGAGCTTAGGGACTTGCTTTATTTCAGATTGTAATCAGTCTTATGTTAGTTGAATGATATTTTCCTTTGCTGATAAAAAAAAAAAACTAATAGCATCTCACTTTGCTCCTTGCAATGAATTAAGTTTGAAAAATATTATCTCTGCACAAAATTGACATTACATACATCTAATCCTTCCTACCTTAGTATAAATTCATAACAAGAAAATTTTACTGTTCAAAAAAGAAAAAAAAAACAAGTAACTTGAATTGCAAAGAGTAATGATTAGCCTCCCAACACAGTCCAATTCTGCATTTTACCAAAAAATCTATCAACCAAAAGTCTATAGTCCAGCAGCCTTCAGTTTTACAGTAATTAGGAGCAATACTTTAGATTTTGTTATTTCAGATTCATGTTAAATATTAATCAATCTTAACACAACTCGATTATTTAATTTTATCATATAAACAAACACAACCTGTTTCACAAACAAATCATATTCAAGTTGATTTGTGTAAATTATGAACAATTGAACTAAAAATCTTAAAATCTCCTCTTTTTCCTTTTTTTTTTTTTTAGACCCATAAGCTACAAGCCTAATTAATTAAAAATCCAATCGATCCACCAGATCACGAAATAATAAAAAAAAAAACCAAACTTTTCTCAATTAATATATTATATTAATTGAAAATCTAGATGAAGAGACATAATTCTGAATAAATTTCATTTGCTTATTAACCTGTGAACGAATCATGTTATAATTCAATTCGTGTCTAGCAAATAGTCAACTCCCATGTGCTAATTTTGTCTCCTAATTTCATATTAGATTCAGGTCCTATTAGATTTCCGAACTCATCTAGTACATGGTGAGGAAGTGAATTAAGGGCTCGTTTGGTTGCCTGGATGAATTAGATAAAATAATTTGATCTAATACAATAAAGAATGACAAAAGACAAGACTAAATATGGTATTAGAATAATACATAATTTTATCTAGTGTTTAATAATACATAACATAAACGTTGGATAGTAATTATTTAATCCAATCGATTGTTTGGTTAAGAAATTATTTTATCGTATTAATGTTGAATTAACAAAAATACCCTCAGTCACTATTTGTTACATTGATGACAGTTTGATTTTATCAGAGGGTTATAATGGTAAATGTGCAAAATAATACGTTTGAGTTGAATTATAATACCACCTCTTTTGGTGGTATTAAAATACCTCCATAATATAGATCTAACGTATAAAAAATATACGATAAGAATACGATAAATATGCGTTTTTGAAATTAATATGGTGTCAAATTTACTTACCAAACAAAGTATTAAGTCCGATTAAATAAAAAATAATACAATCCAATATTTAATCCCCTCATAATACGTCTACCCAACGAGCCCTAAAGATATACTTCTGGAATTCCAACAACTTGGTCCAAAATATTTTGGAGAGGGAGGCAAAAGTATTTAGTTAATCACAAATTACATCCTCAAAGATCGTTCAAATTTTAATTTGAACCCTCAAAGATAAAAAATCTCAATTTACACCCTCAGATATAAATTTGTATCAATGTACACATGAAACTAATAACCATCAGTTTACCTTCTAAAATTAAATAAATAAATTACACCTAGACCGCCCTCATACTTGTCACTTAATCACCTAAACCCCTCATACTTGAAATATTACACATACATCCCATAAGAATTCAAATATGACTAAAAATGTTCCCCTAATTGGGCATCCAAATAATTCTGTTCAAATGATATATTGCAATGGATATAAAGAACATTATATAAATGCATGCATTATATTAAACATTCAAATTATGAGCTTGATCTTGAACTTTAAAGTATAACAAACCCACAAAATAAAATGTAGTATGAAAATTATAATTTTTTACTAGGATAAAATCATGTTTTTAACGATTATATTAACATATATCAATGACAAAAGGTAATGTGTTACATGCACATAGACGTCAGGAGGTGTAGAAGTAATATTCTAAATGTGAGGGGTTCAAATGATTAAGTGACAAATTTTAAGAAGTCTAAGTATAACTTATCCAACTAATTTTAGACGGTAAGCTAATAGTTTGATACAAATTTATATCTTTATGGGTACAAATTAAAATTTTTTTATCTTTGAGGGTACAAATTAAAAAAAAATTATCTTTGAGGGTACAGATTGAGATTCGAGAAATTTTTCAGGATGCAATTTACAATTAACCCAAAGTATTTTGAACAAATTATAATTTAGGTAATAATTTATACTAAATTTAAAAACCCTCCCGGCTGGAGTGAAATTCCTTCCATAATGGGAAAGCCGTGCACATTGATGTACAAGTGGGAAGTAAGAAGATAGCTGATTTTGAACACAAGTAACACTGCTGATGTGGTTTATACACCCCAACATTTTTCTCAGTTCCTGTAAAAGATCTAGATGAAACACTAACTCCAACTCGAAAAATACCAAATTCTGATAAATTCAATGGCCTAGCATCATGGGTTTTTCCCTAAAATTTTCTATCCCCCTCACAATGAAGCTTTTACTCGGTGCTGACCCTGCCAGGGTTGCTGTTTTCAGGGTAAAGATTTCTGGAGCCCAAAAAATTCCAGGCAGATAGGAACAATCCCTGCTCAGACATACCACAGTCCCTTCCTCCTACACCGCCAGTTTCTGCATCACAAAATCAGTAACCTTGTATAATAAACCCCTCCTACACCCACCCCAGCTTTCAAATTTCTGTAATCAGGGACACTCCTATAAGCATCTAGTTATCCCAACTGTGATACACATAGGTCAACCCAACTCAACAATGCTTTAATCCTAACTATCTAGGGTACGCTCCCAATTACAAATAGCTAGACCAGTCAAATAGCCATAACTCTAAATGCTAGTTTAGATAGTGAACTTTAACAAGGAGAGTAACACAGGTAGAGATATTCATGTTGTTTGTCATCTATATTCTCATCTTATTTCAACAAGCATGGTAATCAGCACACGGACAGTACTGTTTTCAACTTTTATGTACATATAACCAGAATCCTAACATTAATGGGCATATGTTGCATTTTCTTGAGGCATGCACATTCAGCTAGAATTTAACAACCTCCACTTGCAGGCTCAATTGAGCTTAGAAGACCATTACCTCTCAGCTGCATGCAGTGATCCTCTGCATCTACTTGAGCACAGATAATCACCACTGACAGACCATTGTAATGTGCCTCTTGCATGATATTCACAGCATTGTCAATGNTTTGAACAAATTATAATTTAGGTAATAATTTATACTAAATTTAAAAACCCTCCCGGCTGGAGTGAAATTCCTTCCATAATGGGAAAGCCGTGCACATTGATGTACAAGTGGGAAGTAAGAAGATAGCTGATTTTGAACACAAGTAACACTGCTGATGTGGTTTATACACCCCAACATTTTTCTCAGTTCCTGTAAAAGATCTAGATGAAACACTAACTCCAACTCGAAAAATACCAAATTCTGATAAATTCAATGGCCTAGCATCATGGGTTTTTCCCTAAAATTTTCTATCCCCCTCACAATGAAGCTTTTACTCGGTGCTGACCCTGCCAGGGTTGCTGTTTTCAGGGTAAAGATTTCTGGAGCCCAAAAAATTCCAGGCAGATAGGAACAATCCCTGCTCAGACATACCACAGTCCCTTCCTCCTACACCGCCAGTTTCTGCATCACAAAATCAGTAACCTTGTATAATAAACCCCTCCTACACCCACCCCAGCTTTCAAATTTCTGTAATCAGGGACACTCCTATAAGCATCTAGTTATCCCAACTGTGATACACATAGGTCAACCCAACTCAACAATGCTTTAATCCTAACTATCTAGGGTACGCTCCCAATTACAAATAGCTAGACCAGTCAAATAGCCATAACTCTAAATGCTAGTTTAGATAGTGAACTTTAACAAGGAGAGTAACACAGGTAGAGATATTCATGTTGTTTGTCATCTATATTCTCATCTTATTTCAACAAGCATGGTAATCAGCACACGGACAGTACTGTTTTCAACTTTTATGTACATATAACCAGAATCCTAACATTAATGGGCATATGTTGCATTTTCTTGAGGCATGCACATTCAGCTAGAATTTAACAACCTCCACTTGCAGGCTCAATTGAGCTTAGAAGACCATTACCTCTCAGCTGCATGCAGTGATCCTCTGCATCTACTTGAGCACAGATAATCACCACTGACAGACCATTGTAATGTGCCTCTTGCATGATATTCACAGCATTGTCAATGGTCATACCAGGTATAACCTTCATTAGCACTTGCACGACATACTCCCTCTTGTTGTAGTTGTCATTGTGCAGTAACACACGATAAGGCAGGGACATTTTCCTTGATTTCCTGAAAACCAAAGCAGTAACTGTGATTGAATCAAGTTAAATGAATGGAGGCGCAGATGTAGAGTATCATAAGAGTATCATGCACCAAAAATTAAAGAAATGTGTACATAAATATGCATCGACAAACGCTAAAGATGGCACATGAGATTGGTCCAGCTCCTTCATAATAAATCCATTAAAAAAAACATGTATTTTTTGTTTGGGATCCGCACAAAAACAAGTCAGATCGGAGGGAAGACAAAGATGGGCATTTTGATATTTCACCTCTGTTAAGTGCAAAGCAATGGTGCACAGTCACTCGAGTCAGCAAGGAAACATACATTGAAGGGGAAACAATAAAGATCCACTGTGCCAAAACCCTCATCAGAAATGCAATCTAGCAGAGATTGATTGAGGATATAATAAAAACAAAATAATACAGTCTAATCCAGCTTTATTGTTGGTCCTGTAGAGTGGATATACAACCGAAAGTGTAAATTCTGTTCTTGTACATGGAATGTATTAATTATGATAAAGATTAATTTTCCAATCCACATTAGCATTTGATAGCTGTATCTTGCACATATTGATTTCTCCCGATGAAAACGGCTAGATAAACCAAGTGATGCCCTTCAAATTGCCCATCAACAAGCCCAGAAGACTGCCTGCATAGTTATCTAGGCAACCCCTTGTGTAGTGTGCATATATTATGCAGAACATTAAACCTGCTAAGTCTGCAAGGTGGCACTAATTAGATTGAAATAGTCTGCCAGCTTAATTGGGGTCAGTGGGTGAACCACTGCCATGGCCTGTCCCATTAAATCTGACTTGCACCCTTGCTTCATGGTGACCTCCAGAACAGAGACATTCATTTCTCTAGGATAAGATTCTCATCCCCCACCAAGGTCTGTAGCAAAGGCGAAATCATTTTGCAGATGCAGAGCCACAGCACTATGCTCGAGCAACTGCACCAAAGCAAGTGACATGTGGACAAAACGGACACTTATTTGCTTAAATTGTACATCAGATTGATGGATTGACTATGCTACCATTTGTCAACTCAAACTCCTTACAAATGGTCAATAACAGTCCAATCACATTGCCAGTTTCTAGTGCAACATGGCAAGTGCCGATATTTGCATGTCAAGAAGTGGTCTCGAGAAATCAAAAAGAGTAGCTGTGGCATATTTCAGCAAAAATCAACTTCATGTTTATGGTCAAAGCAAGGATCAAAATTTCGTTTCAAAACAGTCGAAGTGTCCAAAACGTTTCCGTTTCCAAGGAGACCGAAATGAATCAGTGATGTAATCGAAATTTTAATACTTTTTGAGGTGTTTCATAATGATTCAAAATTTTTTGTTATATTTCAATACATTTGCACAATTATTTCAGAATATTTCAAGGTATTTTGGTATATTTCAACCAATATTTTGAAAAAATAATTCTTAATTTTTTATTTTTTTTATTATGTTTCCGAAACGGGTCAAAACGTTTCCGAAACACATCGAAATATTTTCGTTTCCTAAATGACCAAAATAGTGCATCGAAACAAAATTTTGATCATTTGAGTCAAAGTTTGTTTTACTGCCTAACCAGGCACAAATAACATAAACAAGGGAAAAGCAACCAAATATAATTTTGAATGAATATATACTTAGCTCGTCACACCTAAAAAACTAAAAAATCCAACTACTTGGGGTCAGTACACGATTTAAACTTTTTATTGTATTTTGATGCTGCTATGACACGAACCAAGCTAGTTGAGAGCGAGTCATGGGTAAAAGTTCACTTGAGATGAACTCAACAGACGAGAGACAAGTTTGAGAATATGTTAAAGCTCGTAAATTATTGAGCTCAACTCCAGTTTGACTCCATAAGCCAATATTAAAAACCAAGCTATTGCTAATTGGCTCAGTTGGAAACTCACTCAAGATCCTTAAGCTGGATTTGTAGCTTGTTAAAGTTTCGGAACCAAGCTTGACCAACACCTAATTTTTCTTGATTCGGCTCGTTTTCACACCTAGACCCCAAGATGATGATGATATTTTTGCATTCAACAATAAAGGAAGAGGATATTAAATTCAATGTAGCAGTGACACAGCACTACTTAAAATATTTGTCATAGATGTTATAACTCATATAGTAGGCAGGGAGAGGCTCTGATCCTCGTGTTGTAAACAATTGACCTGTTTGGAGCTAGATTTTTTAGGTGAAAAACTGCGGTTTGAAAGATTTCACAAAAAAGTCCCCTAAAATCGTTTGAGGTGTTCTTTAAAAAACTGGAAAAGTTGGAAAAATCCGATTGAAGTGACTTTCTAGCTTTTTTGTGTCAAAATAAAAAAAAATAATTACGTGTATATAAAAATTATGCATTATAGTTCCCAAAATATGTATTTCAAATTTTGTTGTGTTACTAATAATATTTTATGAATATAATAAACTAAAAAGTTATGTGAAAGCCGTGACAAAATTCTAAAAAACTGAAAGAAAAGGTCATAAAATCAACTTCTTAAATCGGGCCTAAATAAACTGTTTTGAGTCCCAAAAGCTGCTGCATAAGCTAGTAAAAAAACCAAAGTTCAAACGGACCTAACTTATTTTACACCAAAACCCTTAAAAACTACCTATTTAAACCAACTCCAAATAGACCAAATGTTTCAAATTTGGTGTTTAGGTGTAATACCTTTCCACCTAAGATACCTTGAAGGGACAGAAAACTATCTTATTCATGTTTTTAATAAATCTTAAGTAAGGGCAGACTGTGTAATAAGTCATAGCTAACAAACGCAAAAGTCATGAAAAAGGGACAAAAGATCAGGCATATAAAAGAAAAACCCAAAATGCTAAGGGACACATAAACCACCAGCCCCCATTTGGCCTAGGTGCGCTGTCTTAAAAATATCAACTCAGTGCCGAGGTGCTTTATCCATATGTAAAGTCCAAAACATCAGACAGCTCATTCAACCTCAGGAAAACTGTCACAATTCATGAACATGACAAAACTTGATTGAAGATATTGAGCATTCTACAACCACAACCATTTTGTTTACATGTTGCCAGCCGATCTTCACTTTAAAGACTACTCTCCAAAGAATGTAAAAAATCTTTCTAAAAGCTCATTTAGAAAGCTAAATTTAGGCATGCTAACCATAAAGGAGTGTCATAGGTTCAAATATCATCTTCTCCTTCAAAACTACTCTCGAAGTACAGTGGTTATAGAAAGATGTTATTTTCAAGTTGGCTAAGGAAAAATAAATGAATTTTAACAGGAGGCAACTTTTTAAGTGCAGAGATGGGGACTAAAATTATATGCTTACACTTGACCAGAGAAAAATGAATATCTTTCTTCTTTATCATTCCTATGAAAAGGAATGTGAATTGTCTTTTTCTTCTTGTTTAAAGTTGCTCAAGAGATCCATAATTCAAATATGACTTGCCTTGAAGGTGGTGGTTCAAACAGCTTCCAAGTGACCTTTGATTTGAAAATTGTAGGGCAAATGGAAAGAGTAGGATCAATATATAGGCCAAATGCAAAAACATCACATCTCTAAGCTTATATGAAATATCAAGAGGTCCCTTCCACTGCGGTGTTCTTCTGCTTCACAAACTATAGTGAAGTCCTTGGATTCTGTTTTCTGACATCCAGTGTACCAGACCCTGCTCGAGTTCTTTATTCTAGGTATTCAAAATTTTCTATTTAGAGATTAAAGAATGCCCAAATTGACACTTTAAGCCAAAAACTTCCATTTGAGAACCTTACATATTCATAATTTATGAGTTTACATGAAACAAAATATCACACCCACCAGGGAACTTTGCTATCCATACCTCAAGTCAAATTCAGATTCACGGCCAGGAGATGTTTTCTCTATGACTGGTTTCTCCAACAACCCGCCACCACCTTTCCCCGCGGCTGATAATGTCATAAAAACGCTTCGACTCATGCAATGTTTATGAAGAGAATATTTATCCCCTGGTGTACATATCATTATCATATATGAGAATCACAAGCCATACTAAAGCAATCTTAATAAGAAATGTGTATCATTCCTCTATACATTTATAACAGAATTCTCAATGCAAAAGGCCTAAACAACAACACTTGCATAACCTGCAAATAACTCCACAAGAAATGTAATTGCAGAAATAATATATCTTTCTTGAAGTCCAAAAAAAAGTGGAGAAACTAAGACAAACTTTGACCTTTTTTTAAGAGAGAGAGGAGGGGGAAGGAAAGAAAGAAACTATAGGTCCATTTTTCTAAATTCCGACCAACAGGAAAACTTGTATTTTCATCAGTGGGCAAACACTCTGGAAATACTCATAATAGAGAAGCACAACAGATTGTTTCTGGCCAGTAAATGAGCAATGGCCAATCCTTTGTTGAAAAGATCAAGTACTCTGGTGCAAGAAATGATTGCCAGAGGTACTAGAAAGCAGTCAAGTTGTATTTGTGATGGAATTGGAAACAATTCAATAAATGTCATAATTTCTTGTGTGCATTATTCAGATACATAAAGCTTTCGGTTATAAATTAATGTAAAGTATGCCAAACAGCATAATCTACTACTACTACGTGCACTTATACAAAAAAAGCTGTGGGTTTTTTATCTGTAGTGGAAGCATAGGCTGATTCGGTTTTTTCTTCACTATAACTTAGGGTTAAAAAAGGACCTTATCACAAAATAAGAGTAGATTGATTGTATAACTAAAATTCTAGCCATGAGCAAGGATCAAAATATCGTTTCAAAACGGTCGAACCGTTCGAAACGTTTCCATTTTCAAGGAGACCGAAACGAATCATTGATGGAATCGAAATTATAATATTTCGAGGTATTTCATAATATTTCGAAATGTATTATAATATTTCAATGCATTTGCACTATTGTTTCAGAATGTTTCAAATTATTTCAAGATATTTTGATATATTTAAATCAATATTTTAGAAAAATAATTCTTAAATTTTTTATTTTTTTTCATTATGTTTCCGAAACGGGTCGAAAAGTTTCCAAAATATTTCCGTTTTGTAGGTGACCGAAACAATACACCGAAACGAAATTTTGATCATTGGCCATGAGAGAATCATGTGACACATTTTTGTCATATTTAACAGCATCGCCTTAACAAATGGGTTTAATTTGAGTAATGCTTAAGCCATAGGGTAGAAAAGTGCAACACTCCAAACCATAGGGAGGAGGAGTCAAAAAAAAAAGAAAACATCAATATCCGAGAAGAAGGTAGTTGCAGCATAGTTCGGAATAACAATAACGGATGCCGTAACTTTAACAGTAACAGAATAACGGACACGGAGTGTAACGGTCATTATATAACAGTAGCGGAAACCAAAGGTGTGAATTTTTATTTTAACTCACACCTCCCTTAGAAATGAATGTTTCTTCATTTCAACCAAAAATTATGCAATTGTATGTTTAGTGATTCATAATAAACAATTGTTTCCTTTTATTAAAACTCAAAATACAATAAATTTATTTACGATGTCAAAAAGAATTAATTTATCTGCATCTTGGGAGGTGACAACAAGAGAGGAAAAGAAAAAGGAGTTGTTGGTTGCTATGTGGCATGCATCTATGGGGTTTTACAAACAAAGGTCTAGACATTGCAACGTTTCATTCATTGTCTTAAACCCACAAATAAGATCTTGTTTGGAACCAAACCACCAGAATAAAAAACAATAAAAATAACCAAGCCCGGCTTTCTTCTTCCGAACCAACAAACTCAGCTTATCTATTCTCCTTTTTTTTTGGCATTTAAGTTCTTCTCTTCCTCCGTCTCTCAAATTTTCTGTTTTGCATCAAATTCAAGTCTGACAAAAATCGGGAGGTATTTTTCTGAAGATGGTAGTCATCGTCTCAGCTTCTTCCCCAACTTCTCTTGAACATACAATCTTCAAATCTATGCCCAAAGTAAGAAAATTTAAAGCCAATATGGGGTATGGCGGGTGAAAAGTGATGAAAATCAGCAGAAAAATCTAAAGAAATTGCAGCTGAAAATAACCAGGTATGTAGGCTTTTTTCCCTCGAGTTTTCGGGTTGTATCGGACTGTTTCTACTTATATCGGCCGTTATGGTCGTTATTCACCCGTTATTCAGTCGTAACGAGCGATGTAGGCGTGAAAAAATTTGGAACTGCAGTATTGAACTGTAATGGAATCGGCAGCTATTGTTACCGCTATGTAACGGTTGTTACACACAATAACGACAGCTTTTCAAAACCATGTTTACAAGTAACTATGAGGAACCTATTCTTTTGTATGACCACAAATTGAAAAAGCTTTCCAAACCAGCCGATTAATCGGTGACCATAATCAATAGGTTAAATAGTCAACCAACTTTTACTTGATTGCAAAAAACCACCACATATATATCAAATAAGCGTTCCAAACTAGCCGATTAGTCGGTGACCATATTCAGTAGAGTTAAATATTCAACAGTTCAACCAGCTTTTCCTTAATTGCAAAAACCACCACGCAATGAAATAGACAAATTCTCCATTCAATATAGATCCACTAGTCTGGGTCCTAACTTTTGTGCCTATCAGTTCACCTTGGATGCCACAAGATCCCTGGGGATAGAGGTGTTCAAATTTTCGATTAACCGCAATTTTTTATCCGACCCTACTCTATCCTACCTAACCCTATTGAACGGCGAATGACTAACCAAAAAAATCAAGTAAGAACGCAGAAGAGTTTTTGGTCTTTCGATTAAATCGGATAGGAATGCAGAATAGCCATTAATTTCTGTACTCCTACCCTACCCTACCCACATTAATATATATATATATATATAAACTAAAAATCCTAATTCTTTAACCATATGATTTAAACTTAAAATAATTGTTATTATATTTTTGCAACAATTATGATGAATTGATGTTTATACTTTCTTGTGTTTTATTGTAATTGGTATTATAATTGTTTTAGGTTTTAGTGTTATTGGTTTATTGTGTTGTTAAATTGATGCATGTTATTTAATTGAATTGTTAAAATGATCCAAAAATTAATAACTATAAAAGTGTTCACCTGATTTCCTACTCGATTAATTTGGCCAGAAGTCGGGTAGGAATACGATACTTGATCAAGTAGGGTAGGCCAAGAAAAAATTCTTTCACGAAATATCGGGTAGGAAGATGGAAGACCATATTTCCTACCAGTAGGGTAGGGTGAACACCCCTACCTTGGGATATACAGCCTATTACCTAGAGATAATATTTTAGAGTTCCTATCTTCCTTTTGATCCCCCCCCCCCAATGCTAGAGATGATATTTTAGAATTCCTTTTTGTATAACTTATACTAGAGCAGAAAAGAGAGTGCACACTCTCGTGAAAGTAACAAACAAGTAGTTGTACATGAAGATTCGCAATTCAAGGATTCTTGCATTTGAGGCAAAAGTTCTTCCACGAACTTAGTTCTAGCATGATTAAGGTAACTAGATATTCATATGCCATGTAAACGTTGGCATATTTGATTGTTTTGATGAAAGTGACTATTGCATCAACCTAACTTTGGAGTTTCTCCCCATTGTTTTTTACAATTGACAATAATTCAATTGTGTCCACAAGAGGAAAAATATATTCTCATCAATTACAAGATTACTGCTCTCTAGTCTCTTCAAACAATCCATTAGCCGCAAAGTACCAGTCCCGCAACAGTATTGACGCAAAAGGATCGGTCCTTCACTTACTGATCATTCGCGAGTCGAACTCGCTCTCTTGCCATGCCTTTCACTCACTCTCTTGAGTCGGACTCCATCACTCTTTTTGTTTGGAGGATCATTCGTTCTTCACTCTCTTGCTGCTAAAGAAAACATATTTCACATATTCTTTCCTCGGAAAAATCCGTTTACAGCTTGAAAAGTCAACTTTCTCCATATTTTTAACATCAGAAAAAATTCAATTCACACTCTCAAATTTCAGCACTAAGCCAAAAACCTAAAACCTTACATTTTCTACCATTTTAGAATGATAATATTTGCAATGCTTAAAATTCAAAGATTAATTCCGCCACAATTAACATGGTAAACTCAACTGTAGGCACTTCTTAAGTTAATAATCTGACCAGGTCAATATTCTTCTTTAAATATTTTGCCAATTTTCTAATTGCCTCAAATTATCTTTCGGAAGAAAACAACATGATGGTTTTTATTTCTCCCAACTAGGATATACAGACAAGTCGAGCATTATCCAATTTTCAAAGCCCAAATGATGTAATGTATGTAAACCCCTTTTTTTCACTATAATTTCCCAAACCCAGTTCCGCCTTCTGTTTTATTTACATGAATCAAACATTTTTCTTCGCACATACGGTGAGACCAACTTCTGATAGCACAAACAGGTGCTTAACGCTAATCAAAACTCCCAACTTCAAATATTTCTCTTTTATTTCCATTAACTATATAATCAACAGTACCAAAGTATAATTTCATTAGACTTGCACGTCAAAAACCACAAGATCAATACATTCAATCTAAGAATTTGCACACACACATATAATACACACACACATATATATATATATATAGAGAGAGAGAGAGAGTACCTGAAAGTTTAGGGTGGAGGACATGATTAGGGGAAAGAGGGACTCGACTGCAAATGGCAGTCTCCATGGCTCCCTGTTTTTCTCTCTTCCGACCAAACACACAGAAAAACACACTTATTTAGTCCAATAAAAAAAATGTAAATATATATGGCTTCTAAATAACCAGCAGTCTTCTGATTTTTCTGTGTTCTTAGAAAATTCATCGTGGTAGACACACGTGTGGGCTTGGTGGTTATATCTAAAGTCTAGACTGGAGATCAAGAATGCGGTGTGTAGACTGTACACACACGAGTTTAGGTATTCCAAATAATGTGGCTAGGCATAAATACGACACAAATTAGTGAATTTAAGTCTTTTTTAAATTGTCCATTTCATAAACAAATAGAATTGACATACCTCGATTAATAAATGAATTAGTTACGGGAGAAATCAACCAAAATAAATACATGAAATAATTTATTTATATATTAATTATAAACGATTTGTATACGATATAAACTTGATATAGCACGATTTATTAAACATTAATTAATAAACGAATCAAATATAAGTGAAGGATTTTTTGACATTAATATATTAAAATCTAATACAAATCCATCTCACTCGACATGATTTAACAGGTTGTTTGTTTGCCCACTAGTGTTGCTCAAAATGAATTTAACTAGTACAAACAAGAACAATACACTCACATAATATTAAGGCTAAAGTGAAAGTAATTTAGAGATTTAATATGATAATTATGTGTTATAATAATTGAATTGATAAAAGAATTTATTAAAATCTATTTTTAATTCAATTATGACAATAAATTATCTCCTCACTTTAGAATCTCAAACTAAGTCCAAAAACAGGAAAATAAGATGATGAAAATATCATGTTGCAGTTATCGTCTTGCGTAATTTTTGTGGGGCATAAGTAGTGCACGGGAACAATGTTAAAAGAGAGGGCAAAGGCGTATTTTGACTTATCTCATCCGATACTTAAGTCAGTTAGCATTCAAAAGGAGGATAGTTTGCACTGTGCTAGTTTGGTTCCAATTGTGCACCTGAGACACAATTCTTTGGGCTATTTATACCTTTAGAGATGATGACATAACATGTTATGGGGTTCCATCAAGTCGGCCGGCAGCTCCCTTTTAGGAATGAACAATCAGCAGCTACTGCTCTCAGTGAGCCACGTAATTACTAGGCATAGGGAAGGTCGGCAGCAACTTAGGGTCAAACTTCATAATGATTGCCTTACTCGGGGGGGACATTTAATGTACATCTCCTTAGTATTTAATGGCATTTATCAGGCATTCAATGAATTGTGTCAAGCACTCATTGTGCCTACACCGAGCATCAAATAAAGATGCCCCCGACCAGTTTACTCAGTAAGGGTCATGCCTTTATCTAGATTTTCTGATATTAAATGTGTGACTCAATGTGACATGTATGTGCAAGCAATTATTCTCTGTCATACGTCGCACTGTGGGACCCTTGTATACCTACCCAACATTGATTGCCCAAGGCATGGGACCATCTAACTTTCCATGCCCCAAGAGGTCTGTACCCTTGGGGCCTTTAGCTCAGGTCTACATATTACCTCAATACAAACTGTTCATGTCCACGTGTCACACCCTGATACGAGCACCGCTTCTTGTCCCTCAACTACCCCCGAGCCTTCAGTTTGCTCACATTGTGGGCCATGTGCGCTTGAGGGGATTGGAGGTTTCTGTTGCATGTCTTTGTGGGAGTCGTTACGCGTACATTTGCTGCCCATTTTTAAAAATCGCATTTATTTTGTCATTCCTCCCAGTAATCGATGCCTTGAAGGGGCGTATAAATAAGAGGGGATTTCCCACTCTTTGGCCCATTTGAATCCTTGAAATTCAGAAGACCCTGGTGAGACAGAGCATCCTTTGCCTACTAAAGACATCCCTAACGGCGTTTTTAGTAAGTACGTTCGATCATTTGTCTTCTTCTTTATTTCTCTTCCTCTTACTCTTTCTTTCTCTCTCTCTATCTCTCTTTCCCACCAATGGCTTAGACCCTTAGAAGAGATAGAATGAGGACCAAAAACAAGTCCAAGAACAAGAAACCTAAACCTAGAAAGACCCAAGTAGACAATGCCCAGTGGATTGCCAGTTTTTAGGGCAAAAATACCTTATCCTGGCCGATGTACATATTAAAAAGTTCGAGGTTGATAGGCATAGTTCCACCATGAGTTCCTCTAAGCTTATGCCCTTCCACACCAAGTTGATAATGGAAGGGGATGTTAGGTTCTTTCTTGCCCCCTTTTGCTAAGGTTCCTGATGCACTTCAGGCTCTTTCCCTGGCCGTGATGTGTAAACCTCTTTAGAATAATTATGGGGGTAGTAGCCTTGAACTCTTGGCTTAGCATCAACATAGGAGAGAATGAAATCCTCTTTTTCTGCCATGATGTGGACTCTCAAAAAGAAATACTACCTCAAAGCTCGAGGATCCCGTTATATACCTGGTCACCCACATGCCTAACTTCCACAAGGAATATACATAAGACCTCGCCATGGAGGGCGATCAATGGGAGAGAGGCGAGGGGCTCGACTACCTTGGCTTATTCTGCCCCAAAACCATGAGGAAGTCAGGTGTGTGGGTTTCCTTTGACCAATGAGTCTTAGTTAGAGTCTAGTGATGTACTAACTCTTTGTTTGTTTTGTAGAGGAAGACATAAAAGAGGAAGTTGCTCAGCTAAAGCGCTCTTTGGTCTCCTTCTAAGACTTGATCAAAGTTTGGCAATTCTAGAGGTCGAATAACCTTGCTCAAGCAACTCATATTCTGCTAAACTACACCCCCTACTATAGGAAGTATTCTCAGACTCCTATACACTTTGACTAAGTTGTCTGGATCAACGAGTCTTCTGGTGAAGTGAACTTGGAAAAGGACAGTGATCGGGATTCAGAAGCTTCCCAGGCTATTGAGATCGTTTCCTCCTTCGATTCTTCAAAAAGCCCCTCATCTGACTTTGAAATCAAAATGCCTAGAATGCCTTGAATCTCCATCAAAAGCCTCAATTCTATAGTTGCCTCCATCCAAGCAAACTGGACAGGACCTAATGGGCCATCTTGGGCAACCGTTGAACCTAGTTGCCAACATCAATAGCCTCCACCCCTACTCAAATTGAACAAGTGATCGGTGATTGTCGTCAGACGATGGAGGAAGATCCGGGGACCCAGATTGAGCAAAACGTCAGACATGTGTCAAGAGGTCCCGCTTGTCCCTGGGAACAAGTCATTCCCTTACTCCTCAAAGCCAATTAATTCCCTCTCCTGCTAGTACTTCTCTAACGCCATCTCAAAACCTTTGACCTCGGCTACTGAGTGAACCCCTAGGGTTCACACCCAAAGGGATAAGCCAATTTTTACCTCAAACTCCATTTTACAATCTCTTGAGGTTACTTTTGTCGTCAATAGAGCCCTCCATTTTGACGCTGACATGGCTATACACAAGGACCGTTCCAACAACAGTCTACTTCAAGGGAGCAATCTGGAATTTCCTAGTGGTAAGACTTGTCTTTGTCTTTTGCATCTTTTTGTTGTTAGTTTTTATACATTTTCTAGTCGTATACTTCCTAGTAGATAGGAGTCATTTGTGGACTGATTTTGGGGCTATCGCTCGGCCAATGAAAAGGCTCATGTCAAGATTAAGGATATAAAAAAGCTGCTTGAGGCCTGAGAATAAGCCATGAAGATTCAAGTGAATGAGATCTCCACTCTAATAGGGAAGATGCATGGCCTCTTGGTGGAGCTAGAGAAGGTCAAGGTTGTAAGGCAGAGGTCAAAAGGATGATGGCTGAATTAGAGATTAAGGTTTCTACTGTTGAGACAAAGCTAGCCGAGGCCACAGTTGAGAAAAACTATGCCACGTTGACAGATCTGGTAGAGAAGATGATGGAGTTCCTGGCCAATGTGGAGAACAAGGGGGGTTAAATCTGTCAAGAGGTCTTCAACAAGTGCCAAAGGGACATACTAATGGTGTCTGTTGACACCAAGGCTAGATACTTCAAGGAAAGATGGGACGTCGGGCTTACTAATGTTGGGATTGTTTCCAATTTGTGACCTTTTCCTTGAACACGCATTTTGTTTTGATGTCAATGTCAGATGAGGAGGGCAACGATGCCCAGGGTTGAATCTGAGGCCGCAAGGGAAGACCCTCTCCCCTCCACTGTCATTTCCAATAATGATGGGATGAGGAGGGGCATGACGATCCTTATCCTTTGACATTTCCTTCCCTCGCGCTTCAAGAGGATGTCTAGGATCCCCGCAACTCTTGCTAACCTTTAGGGCTGAGTCGCTATTGAGGACATGGTAGAGTATGCTGATTTGTTCAGCGATGGTGAGGGTCATAGTTGCTATGGCCAGGGAGGTAGAGGTCGGGATAGTGATGGCTAAGGTGGTGGTGACCAAGAGATGTAACTTCTAGGACCAATGTGGGGATTTTTTATTTTCTACACCATTAATTTTACCAGGCCTTGGGGTTGTTTGTCTTTCTTTTTCATTGTCCTTATGTAAGCTAGAGGGATGCATAGCCCCTAGTTTATTGAAATTGTTCCTTTCTTGGGAACATCCGTTTTTCAATTTGTTTGGGTGCCAACACTTAGTCGTTTGGAAGCCTCTGTTATTCTTCAATCAAAACGACATGACCTTGTAACAGTACTCCCCTTGGGAGTTATTAAAGAGGTTTTTTTCTTGGTCAACTTCATGTAATAGGATCTGGTGGTAGCTCACTCGATCATCCATGAAGGTCATTCGTTTGTGCCCTACGGTTACATCTATGAATTGGTCCACCTTAGGTAAGGGTAATCGTGTTTGGGGCAGGCGTTGTTGAGATCAGTGAAATCTACACAGATGCTCCACTTTCCATTCTTTTTCTTGGTGCAAACGATATTAGATAACCACTATAGGAACTACAATTCCCTGATAGAATTGGTTTCTAGCAGCCGATTTACCTCTTTGTCGATTGCTTGCACGTGATGGGCACTGACCGCCAAGGCTTCTACTGGACAGGCTTATGGGCTAGATCTACACGTAATTGGTGGAAAATAACTCTAGCATCTATTCCCTACATCTTATTGGGAGTCTAAGCAAACATATTGGTGTTGTTCCGAAGGAAGCCTATCATCTCCTCCTGTTTGGCTCTTGTTAAGGATGAGCCGATGAGGAAAAATCTGTCTTTCTCGTCCAGGTAGAGGTATATTGCAGTGAGTTTTTTTGTGGATCGATTGGTCGGTCGGCTCAACTCTACTCAGGGTTCATCGACTCCAAGTTGACCGTACTTTGATTGCTATTTGGCCATGATCACCTCTAGATCCTACTATTTTCCCTTTGTTTTCATCTTGGTTTTGACGGTGGCATAGAAGTAGCTCTTTGAGGTGGCTCAGTCTCTGTACATCTCCATAAATCCCTCGAGGGATGAAGAATTTGATTTTTTTGTGGTAGGACGAGTGCATTACCCTTAAGGCATGTAACCACGTTCTTCTCATAATTACATTAAGAGGGGTCGGAGTTAATAACAACGAATTCAACGGGGAGTGTAACAAACTCAGCTGTAACTGAGAAAGAGATCCTCCCAAGTGGTAGGGCATATAAAACAGTTTAAACCTCAACCAAAGTGGTCTTCAAGTCTTTGGAGGTGTACCCCTTCTTTTGAAACAAGTTTTGATACATGACCTCCGACGAACAACCCGAGTCTACTAGGATACGTCTCGCGTCGAACTTCTTGATCCTCCTCATGGGGTAAGACGACACCGACTAGGTTAAAATTGGTGAACGAAATAGAGTTTGGACTGGCCTAGGCTTTTTTGGCGAGAGAAGGCTTAACCTTCACTTCTTCAATTCTCATAGCCTGAGCAACCCTTTGTAAGTTGAACCTTTGTGAGTTGCTGGTTGACCACTCATGTGCCTTTCGCCCAAGCACTCATGTACCTCTTCTTAGTAATTAATGGTCTCTGTTGGGCATTCAATGAGCTATGCCGAACACTCAATGGTTATGCATCGAGCATTAAATACAGACACCCCAACCAATCCACATCAGTAAGGGTTATACCTTTGTCTAGATTTTTTGATATTCGACGTGTGACTTGATATGACGTGTCCGTGCAAGCAATCAATCCCTACCGTACGTTTCACCATGGGGCTTTACATACTTACCCAAAATTGATTGCCCAAGACCATCTGCCTTTCTATGTCCCCGAGGGATCTTCACCATGGGGGCCCTCCAGTACAGGACCATACATTCCCTTGGGGCATAACTGTTCATGATCACGTGTCACACCTTGATACGAGCGTCGCTTCGTGTTCAATCAAGGGAATTTTTTTTAATTCTTCTCATTTATTCCAAACAAATAAGAAAAAAGATTTTCATGTCCTTTCGCTCTTTATCTCTCTCTCTCTTAGGTAAGGCTCTGAGGCTCTTAAAGCAGATTATATAAAAGTTTTAAGAAGGAAATAAAATATTTTAGCGCTTTTACGTGCTTTCGAGGACACATTATTGTGGCTATTGGCAACCTATCTTGTTCATAGCGAATAATGCTCTCATATAGAATGGGTTTTTTTTTTTTTTTGGTACAACAAATGTATATGCAGATAAGTCACTTCACTTATTTGTTATAGAATAATATCCCTTAATATCACATAGTTATCTGCAAGAGGCCCCACCACACCTATGACAAGGTCGAAGTTAAGGTTTCATCGTGTACTCCAAGTGCTGAAATATGATTAACCATATCGAATTATCGTAACTATGAAGACTCGAACTCAAACATTATTCAAAAAATTACCCCCACTTGATGGTAAAAAAAGCATGTTTGTAATTTGGAAAAATATAATGGGTTTTTTTGGAAGCCGATACACTTTTTATAACTTATTTGATTTTAAGTACAAACTTTAAAAATATTTTAACAAAAAGTACACTTAGAAGCAGAAGGACCGAAGTACCCCCAACATCATCACATCACTATTGAAAAAATCAGATAAGGAAACTAATTAATTTGAAAATTAAAACTCTTAAATTTTAGAATTTTCTTATATTAGAACTCTTTCTCTTTTTCTATCTTTATATCTCATATATATATATATATACACACACACACGTATACATAATTAAATTCAAAATTTAAATAAATTTTAAATTTCTTAATTTGAAATATTTCCCAATTCTTTCTAAAATTATTAAATTTTAGGATTTTCTTATATTAAAACTATTTCGTTATATATATAATTGTGACTAAAATAAAGCTAACGCAAAATTAAAATTCTTTAATTTTAAATACTTTATAAGATAAAGACTATTTTTTTTTCTCTCTCTCTCTCTCTATATATTTTGTGATAAAAAAAAATTTATGACACATATACTGTGACGCCAATGTCACACTGCTTTTAAAATACATATGTAGAGTTGGGTCACTGTGGACCTTATAATGTGACATCAATGACCACTATAAACACATAACATATGCAGGTTTTTGACACATGTAAAGTATTATAGTGTGACCCAGGGATTGACACACTGTGGGTATCACAAATGTGGCATTAATGTCACACTGCATATGGACACTATATACAGGGTTTGCACATATATGGTATCACATTGTGACTCTAATGTAACACTTCATACACACATCACATAAATATTCAAAAACACATGGTGAGTATCACAGTGTGAATCTAATGTCACAATGCAAAACAAATATCATATGCAGTGTTTTGCATAGGGTGGGTATCACACAATGTGACTTCAATATAACACTGCATAAACAGAGAGAAAAAAAAGGGGGGAGAGAGAAAGAAAAAAAATAGGGAGAGAAGAGTAACGATAAGAGACAAAACGAGTTTGAGAGAGAAAATAGAGGGAGAGAGATTGAGATAATAGGGAGAGAGAGAAAAAGAGAGATAAAATATGGGGAGAGAGATATTAACCGTGAGAGTTAAATATCAAGAGAAAATATGATTTTTTTCTAAATTAATGGAATCATTTCAAAATTTAAATAGTTAATTATCTTTCAATTTAGAAAACCACTTAAACATTAAAATAAAATCAAAAAAATAAGAAAATTGTNGGTTTTTTTTTTTTTTTGGTACAACAAATGTATATGCAGATAAGTCACTTCACTTATTTGTTATAGAATAATATCCCTTAATATCACATAGTTATCTGCAAGAGGCCCCACCACACCTATGACAAGGTCGAAGTTAAGGTTTCATCGTGTACTCCAAGTGCTGAAATATGATTAACCATATCGAATTATCGTAACTATGAAGACTCGAACTCAAACATTATTCAAAAAATTACCCCCACTTGATGGTAAAAAAAGCATGTTTGTAATTTGGAAAAATATAATGGGTTTTTTTGGAAGCCGATACACTTTTTATAACTTATTTGATTTTAAGTACAAACTTTAAAAATATTTTAACAAAAAGTACACTTAGAAGCAGAAGGACCGAAGTACCCCCAACATCATCACATCACTATTGAAAAAATCAGATAAGGAAACTAATTAATTTGAAAATTAAAACTCTTAAATTTTAGAATTTTCTTATATTAGAACTCTTTCTCTTTTTCTATCTTTATATCTCATATATATATATATATACACACACACACGTATACATAATTAAATTCAAAATTTAAATAAATTTTAAATTTCTTAATTTGAAATATTTCCCAATTCTTTCTAAAATTATTAAATTTTAGGATTTTCTTATATTAAAACTATTTCGTTATATATATAATTGTGACTAAAATAAAGCTAACGCAAAATTAAAATTCTTTAATTTTAAATACTTTATAAGATAAAGACTATTTTTTTTTCTCTCTCTCTCTCTCTATATATTTTGTGATAAAAAAAAATTTATGACACATATACTGTGACGCCAATGTCACACTGCTTTTAAAATACATATGTAGAGTTGGGTCACTGTGGACCTTATAATGTGACATCAATGACCACTATAAACACATAACATATGCAGGTTTTTGACACATGTAAAGTATTATAGTGTGACCCAGGGATTGACACACTGTGGGTATCACAAATGTGGCATTAATGTCACACTGCATATGGACACTATATACAGGGTTTGCACATATATGGTATCACATTGTGACTCTAATGTAACACTTCATACACACATCACATAAATATTCAAAAACACATGGTGAGTATCACAGTGTGAATCTAATGTCACAATGCAAAACAAATATCATATGCAGTGTTTTGCATAGGGTGGGTATCACACAATGTGACTTCAATATAACACTGCATAAACAGAGAGAAAAAAAAGGGGGGAGAGAGAAAGAAAAAAAATAGGGAGAGAAGAGTAACGATAAGAGACAAAACGAGTTTGAG